AAGACAAGTCTGTGCGCAGTCCTAAGCAAAGAGACAAAGTCTGGCTCCACATACTGGTGAGGCTCTAGGGGCCACCTTCCACAGGGACGGTGTGCGTGGACCCATACTGCCCGTGCAAGGACCTGTTGACAGCACTGGAGGGCATATGGTTATGCCATTATTAAAATCATATAATGCCTTTTACCTGCATGAACACTGCTTAGGCAATGCTGGTCCCTTCCCACCCCCCATCGCCTCCACCCCAGTGCTGTGGCAACTCAGGCTCTAATGGAAAACTGAAGTGGAACGCCAAGGCCTAAAAGGAGCAATGTCCTTTATTCCACAATTCAGGCAGGCAGGAATAATAAAGCCCAATGCCATGCTCAGTCCACCACCTTCTGAACCCAGGACCATCCCTACAAGCCCTGTCAACTCACTCCTGTTCAGCATATGCTAAGAGAGACACCATGAGATACCCTACGCCAGGCTTGTCCAACATACGGCCCGCGTATGTTGCCATTTTTTGAGGCCCGAGGTGCTGTAATGGGAAACGAAAGTAAACACTCTTTACTTTTGTTCCCACCCTGTGTCCCTCACCCAGCCCCTTGGAAGCTTCCTAATGGGGGGGGGGAAGGGGTGTCCTTTGGCCGGCCCACTGGGTGATGAAAAATTCATGATCCGGCCCCACAAGCAAAAAGGTTGGAAATCCCTGCCCTACGCCATATGGCAAGAGCAGTGATGAGGCATGCACCATGGATCCCTCTAAGCTATCTTTTCTGTCTTGTGACTTAGGCACAGGGGAAGAAGGGTGTGTGGGGCTTGTTTCTCTGCAGGAGTCTCAACTTAGACAGGGAGGCAGAAAAAACATGGCGATGTTGCCTTGTCCTACAAGTTGGATCCCATTCTTGTCAGAGAATATGATCCTTAACTAACAACTGGACAAGGACATCTGTTCACTACCGAAACTCATTCTAAAATGAACATTTTACCTATGAACCACACCAGCCACTGAGCGATCATATTGTGTCAGTTGTGAAACAAATATGTGGCTGGTTATTCTTTACCTCCTAAAGGAAATAAAAATAAAAATTACATCTATTGTGACATAGCTGGAGATGACTGCTCCAATTGCACTGAGAATATGATATATTTTTAAACAGCACAGAGATTGCTCCATACCTTAAATTCATTAACACTATTTTTTGAAACACCCTCAAGGGTTTACTTGTGCTTCTAGCATGGCACAATGGGTCTGGGTCTAAAATATTAATTGGAGAACTCAAGTTTTCTCAACTAAAACTCAGCTGACACAAAAAAAAGTTGCATGGATTTTAGATCACCACAAATAAATAAAGCAATGCAGGAAAATGAGGAGAGGAAGCTGTGTTCCATAGACATTTGCCATCTCTATTTTTAGATTCTTCTTCAGTCTGTTAAAGATATTCTCAGACCTATTTACATTTTTTTTTTCAGACAAGAAATTGTGAAAAATAAAGCAGGCTTTAAAACTTATCTGGAATTTATTTTACCATGACGATTCAGTAAGGTGGAATACATTCCAGATACATACCTGTCCCATCATGGTCTCCTTATATTGTTTTTTCTGCGTTACTTTGATAGGAGGCAATTTTGTCACAGCTGACACCAAAAAATTCATTAGAATGTCTTCACAATTGGCCAGTTGGTCCACCATATTTTTTAGGCTGGCAGGCAGGTAATGAGTGTACAGGTAGTGATAATATCTGGAAAACCAACAACAGGGTTATTAATGTAAACATTGCTTTACTGGGGTCTAGGAACCTTAATAGCTATCAAAAAGAACAATCTTGGATGAAACCGCTAACATGCCTACTGATGATAGCTGATGCAGGGAAAGTATGGCAGGGGATGGTATGCCCTGTACACAGACTTGCCCTGTATATAAACCCTCCCTCTAAAGCATCCACTATTTGCCACTTTGGGGGCAGAATACCCGGCAGTTTGACCCAGTATGGCATTTCTTACGTTCTTACATTTAAGGTGTCAAAAGGCTTTACTGCCTGTAGTTCAGGTGGTATGCTGTGAACCTAAAGAAATCTAGATCCCACATTGTGGGGGGTGGATTAGACACAGCAGATTACTCTGACTTCTTATTAAAAGCTAAGAGAGACTTGAAATCTGGCGAGACACTAACTACAGGATTCTCTACAACGTCCTGGCACCTCAGCGGCCTCCACCCAGACGGAGCCCACGGTTCCAGGCTCCACGCAGGCAGAGCCCCTGGCTCTCGACTGCGGGGGCTGCCCGGCACGTTTCCAGGCTCATGGGACCGGGAACATGGACACCTCCACACGCGAGATTTGCTCCACTTTGGAGTCTCTGGGGTGCCAGATAAAGGAGCTCCAGGCCGCAGTGCAGAGACCCCTGCCATCAGGAATGGTGAGTAGGAGACAGACTCCTCCTGCCAGGCCCTCCACCCCCTGGAGGCAGAGGGTAGACCAAGGTCACCTCCCAGGACAAGGGAGGACTCTGGGATTTCATAGATTTCATACACATTAGGACTGGAAGGGACCTCGGAAGATCATTGAGTCTGGCCCCCTGCCCCAGAGGCAGGAAGTCAGCTGGGGTCAAATGATCCCAGCAAGAAAAACATCCAGGTTTCTCTTGAAAGCGTTTCTCTTGAACCACCTCCGGTGGCAGGCCATTCCAGACCTTGGGGGCTCAGACAGTAAAGAAATTCTTCCTTATGTTCAGCCTGAAACCGTCTTGCAGGAGTTTGTGACTGTTCGACCTTGTCATCCCTTGGGGCGCTCTGGTGAACAAACGTTCCCCCAGATCCTGTGGAACACCCCGATAAACTTATAGGAGGCCATCAGATCACCCGAGCCTGCACTTTTCCAGGCTAAAGAGCCCCATAGCTCTCAGCTTCTCATCATAAGGTCTGTTTTCCTGACCTCTGATCATGCGCGTGGCTCTTCTCTGGACTCTCTCAAGCTTCTCCACATCCTCTTTGAATTGTGGAGCCCAAAACTGGATGCAGTACTCCAGCTGTGGCCTCACCAAAGCCGAGTACAGCGGGAGAATGACGTCCTGGGATTTGCTTCAGAAGCATCTATGGATGCAAGCCAGGGTTTTGCTCGCTTTGCTAGCCGCAGCATCACATTGATGGCTCATGTTCATCTTGTGGTCAATCTTGACCCCCAAGTCCCTTTTGTCCATAGTGCTAGTCAGTGTAGCACTGCCGAGCCTATAGACATGCTACAGGTTTTTCCTCCCAAGGTGGAGAACCTTGCATTATTCGGTGTTAAACGCCATCAGGTTCTCATCTGCCCATTTCCTGAGCCTGTCAAGATGAGCCTGGATTACCACCCTGTCCTCAGGTGTGGATGCTTTGCCCCAAAGTTTGGTGTCATAGGAGAATTTGGCCAGTTTGCTTCTGACTCCAATGTCCACATCGTTAATGAAGAGTTTGAACAAAATAGGTCCAAGGACAGAGCCTTGAGGGACCCCACTGGTCACAGGGCACCACAACGATTGACTTCCATCAACCACCACACTCTTGGTCCGACCATGGAGCCAGTTCCCCAGCCAGCAGATCCTGGTGGACCCGAGGCCGTGCTTGGCCAGTTTTGCCAAAAGGTGATCATGGGATACCAGATAGAAGGCTTTTTTCAAGTCAAGATATGACATCAATCTCTTCCCCCATACTGTCCAGCCAGGGGGTTGG